GATCCTGGAGTCCCGGGATCGAGTCCCGCATCGGGCTCCCTGCTCAGCAGGGAGTCTGCTTCTCCCTCTGACCCTCCCCACTCTCATGTGCTCTCTCTCATTCTCTCTCTCTCAAATAAATAAAATCTTTAAAAAAAAAAAAATGAACATCTCCTTAAGAGATCTTTAAAAAGAGAAGCTAATGGTGAGCTTGTGGGCATTTTCTGGAGGTCCCAGAATTTGAGTTTATGCCTCAGCCTGGCTTGGGGGGTCTGCAGTATCTGAGAGGACAGTAGAGAGCTTGGACTGTGGAGAGACAGCAAAATGAGGAGGACGTAGGAGGACCTCACAAGGTGGTCTTATCAAGGAATTAGCAAAACTACTCTGCCCCATGAGCAGAGAGCAAAAGATCGGTCCAGGGCAGTTAGAATTCCTGAACAAGGGAGCCAGGCCAGCAGCCAAGAGGATCAGTGGGGGGGATTCAGGTTTGGCTTCCATAGTGACAACACCAGAGGTCCCCTGGGTCACTCCGCCTTCCTTCCCTCCAGCGGGTACCAGCTGTTTGCCAGCATCACTCAGGGGCTCTCCCTCCCACTGTTATTGTCTATTCCCACATTATGCAAATAATGCGTGCTCATGGCACAGAAATTGCAAAAGTGTTTTTAAAAAATCCCTCATGACCCTGCCACATAGAGACTATCACCACTAATAGTTTCACGTTTCCTTCCAGCCTTTTTTTTATACACTTTTACGTCACTGGACGTACAGAGCACGACTTTTTGCATCCCACTTTTTCCGGTTAATATTTATACCATCCTAATGTATTTCAGTTATTGAAGATGCTCAGCAACCATAAGTTGCAACAATGTCACTTCTTCTTAAATCACTGTGCATGCTGAAAGCCTTAGATGCACAAGCACCCCATTGCAGAGGAACCCTTGGGCGCCCAGCCCCCAGAAATGGCCTTGCCCATAAGCTCTGTACCCCCCAGTGGGGTAACTGTGAGGATGCAGCAGGCTTGGGGTGACCCATGCTTCTCTTTCTCCACGCAGTAAGCTGAAATTGGAACTGAAACACTCCAACATCCGTTTCATCAACGTGAGTGCTTTTCTCCCAGCACCTCTTGGGTATCTTCTCCAAACAGGGCTTCAGGGGGCTCCAGGAGAAGCTCCAAGGCCCCCCGAGAAGACTGTGCTGCAGCAGTCTTGCAGAAGTGGACGCCATGTCTGAAAGTTAATCATCTAAGAAGGGCACTGCCTGAGGGCTAACGGGGAGACAGGACATGGACATGAAGAGCATGAGCTTTGAAGGAAGATAGATCTGGGATCTGATACCAGCCATGCCACTTGTTACTGTGTGACCTTGGGAAAATAACTTTTCTGAGCCTCAGTTTCCTTGACTGTAAAATGGGAATACATGATATCTACTTCAACCACTTCCAGTGGGAACTGTAACATGAAACGGGGCAATGGATTTAGGAAGACACTTTGACAAAATTCTTCACACGTAGTAAGCTCTCAGTTTATGTACTATTGTAATAATAGTGGCCCGGGTGCACAATACCTTACCCAAAGCCCTCAGGGCTGGTGGGCTTCAGAATTAAGAATTTATGAAAGGTAATTTGGAGCATGCACTATATGTGATGTAACTCTCCAGCAGGATCTGGGGCAGCACTCTATAATCAGACACATTAATACTTCTGCAACAGAATTTAAAACTATCAACACAAAGTGGAATAAAGAAACACTAAATATCCCCATGGCGATTCAGGTCATATTTTGCCATAAAATGAGCTTGTACCTACTGATGGAAAATGAAGTTCAGAGATTGGAGTTGAGGAGATTGTGGATAAGGAGCTGTCTACCTGTGGTGGTGACAGTCGCAGTCAACCTGTTTTGTAAGTGGGTTGGCATGTCGGTGTTTCTGGAGGCGGGGGGCCAGCGAGACGTTGTTCCCTCAGACTCCTGTTTTCATGCATGTCTCGTTTGCTCCCTTTACTCTGCCCGCCCCCCACTCCAGGTGGAGCTGATGGAAGCCATCCTCAATTACTACGCGCTCCACACATTATACCCCTCTCTCAACGGTAAGAATAGCTGCTACTGGGGCGCCTGGGAGGCTCCGTCGGTTCAGTGTCTGACTCTCTGTTTTGGCTCAGGTCATGGTCTCGGGGTCCTGGGATCTAGCCCCGCGTCCAGCTCCGCGCTTAGCGCAGAGTCTGCTTGGGATTCTCTCTCTCTCCCTCTCCCTCTGCCCCTCCCCCTGCTTGCGCGCGCTCTCTAAAATAAATAAAATAAAATCTTAAAAAAAAAAAAGAATAGCTGCTACTGACCGCCCCGTGCAAACGTTCAATTCTACCCTTTCTGTAGGATTCATGGATCAGTCAGTCAGTCAACAAGCTGAGCCCCTCTTCTGCCCCGGCTAGGGTCCTGGCAATCCATGAACCTGCCCTCATAGAGCGTACGCTCTGTTGGGAAGGGAGACATGTAACAGGCAGTGACAACCAGTGTGATAAATGCTGTGACAGGAAGCACAGGGGGCTGCAGGAGCTAGGAGGGGGCACTGAACATGACTCCGAGGTCGGTCCAGACTTCCAGGAGGCGAGGGTCAAGTTGAGTCCCAAAGCACAGGGAGTTAGGCCAAGGGAGGGGCATTCCAAGCTGCACCTGGAGAACACCTGGAGTTAGTACCCCTGGGTTCTGGTCCAGGTTAGGTCACTGACTTGCCAGGTGACCTTGATGGAAATAGTGCTTGGCACGGTGGCTGCCCGAGAACCCAGCTGGCCTCCTCCCATGCCAGGGCCTTCTCCGTCCGGCCTCACCATCTGCCTTTTACCACATGAGATAAGAGCAGGGCAGTTGTCCTGGAAAAGACAAAGGGGAGGAGATGGTGGTCCTCGGGATGAGTGTCTGGTCAGAAGCACTGCATGCCCCATCCCAGGCCCCTTTGGCTGGGGGAGGCTGGCTGTCCACATCTGTCCCCTCCTGAAGAAGCTGCATTCACCAGGCCCCCCCCCAACAGAAAACCAACCCTGAATCCAATAGCGGACCACATTTCAAAGTAGCCTGCCCTCTCACTGGCCATGAGCATGTGTCCCCAGCCTTCCCCGTCCAGCCCGTGTCTCTCTGCTCTTTATCTTCCAGCAAAGCTTGAGGAGGGCTTCCCTCTCCCTCTGCCCAGGGACACCCACCTCAACAGTTTGGAGCTCCAAGTCCACGAGGTCAGTGAGACATGGGGTCTGGGTGGGGAGCTCTAAGACCTTCTGGGAGGGCTGCTTCGGGGCTGGTCACATTAGGGGGAGCCCCTGACTCCCACTCACATCCTGGACCTAATGTTCATCGGAAAAAATATTTTTGTTTTAAATGTTGGAGTACAAATGGCAAGTGTTGATTGTGTGGAATCTTGACTTCCACGTAAGCTTGGTTTCCAGTAATTCAGTTCAATCACGTCAACTGAATATCAACAGTGTGCAGGGCCCGTTAGCCATGTGTGGCAGGAAGGGGTCAGATTAGATGCACCACTTCTGGGTTAATGAGCCAGAAGCTCCTGGGTGGTGTGAGAGGGTCCAAGGGGCCACCAGTCAGCCTTACGACCTGCGGCAACAAGGCCTAGTCCTGGAGCAAAACTGACCAGGCCTTTTAGGGCAAGCAACACATCAGGAGCAGGGACAGGGACAATGACAGTTCACTCTATAACTCCAGAGGTACCAACGTCTTCACTGTCCATAGCATATTCTAGGGTAATCCTGGACTACATCCTCATAAATTAATGATGTGAGGGGAGTAAATTCAGGCAGCACCCAGACGTGCATTGTTCTCCTGGGAGAAACAACTTTTGGAGGAGGACAGTGACATTCATGCATGTCTTCCAGAAATCAGACTATTGGGAAATGCAAATAAATTCCCGGGGTCAGGCAGCTAAGAGGGACAGTGTTTTCTAAAGGCCTCCCAGGCCTGAAGGCAGGGTTTTTGCACTGACCTGCTTTTCGGGTCAAGTGAGAACTTGCCTCTCCCACTGAAGCTTTCTCTTTCAGGAAACTCCTGTCCTCTGCAGCTCAGAAAATGATCTTTCTTGTCTGTCCTTTTTGCCTCCTCTCCAGAACTTCTTGCTCTTGGGGGCCAACCTTGATTAGGCTGAACACTGAGGAAGGAGCAGCGTGGCTAGAGGAGGGGATGACACCACAGCTGGGCCTGCCCCTGCCCCTGGGGGGGTCCGGAGGTTGCGGTCACTCTGCCTCCACTCCCATGAGGACCTCCTCCACATGGACACTCGTCACCGGGGATCCTGGGATACCCGAACACACGCCTGACCGTGGGACGCCTTCCCCACCTTTCTCCTCCTCCTTCCTGTGCCCTTTCCTGTCCCCTCCGCAGCTGTCCTTAGCCTTACTCTGGGCAGCCTCTAGAATAAACTTCAGTGAGCCGTGTCCAGTCACCACAGAGCTCAAAGCACCCTGCTCAGCATTAAACATGAGCTTAGTCGTACGTGTCCTTTGTTGTGGTTACAGGAGCAGAAGTGAGACAACGTGTGCTTAAAGCCTTGTGTTGCCATGTCCTTGGTGCGTAATATTTATCGAGATGGGAGCAGAGACCACCCAGCCGCTATATGAGTTCCACATTTATTCAACAAACCTCGATCTCAATTTGCTAGTTGATTGTTCGGCACTGGCTTCTGTCTCTGGGCTTGGTGCTGCAGGAGGAGGGGGTCAAAGAGAAGAAAACACATGGTCTCTGTCTTCACCAAGCTTACGGCCAAAAACGGGGGCCGGAAGACTTTTTCTATAAAGGGCCAGAGAGCAGATCTTTTAGGTTTTTACCACACATCTAGTCTCTGTCGGGAATACCCCTCCTGGCCGCTGTAGCAGAGAACAGCCAGACAGTGAGCAAGTGGGCGTGGCTGTGTCCCAATAAAACTTGGTTTGCAAAAACAGGCAGCAGGCCAGATCCAAGCCACGGGCCACGCTGTGCCCCCAGTGGTCTAGAAGAACAAATAGGATTTATGCTGTGAATACAAGCCTGGTTTTCAATTAGGAGATGTGCTAACATATCCTACCTGGTCACAAGAGTAATAAAGAGCACAAGCTGGAGGCAAGTCTGGCCTGCTTTCAAATCATGGCTCCCTCTCCTTGGCTCTCTGCGATTTATGAAATCTCTCTGAACCCCCGGAATCTTCAGTTTTAATATAGCACAAGCAGTGGCCAAGGACCATGCCACCCGAAGCCCCCTGCTCAACCTTAAACGTGTCGAATGACTTCGTTGTACTTGTCATTTGACGTCATGACATGGGGAAGACGGGAGGTTGAAATAAATTATTTGGAAAGTGCTCAGGGCGATTCTTGGCCCATGCTGCACCAGATCAATAAACTAGCGCTGTCATCATCATCCACTCCTCATTATTAAAGACCCCTTCATATACTAGGAGTAGGATGACAGATTATCAAATTTAAAAAATCTGTCTTGCACCATCAACCAAAATCATACCTATGATGAGATCACAGAGGTGTTGCGTTTTTTATCTTGGAAGGTCCAGGAAATGAGCCAGGAATGTCTGATGACCTTGGCCAGGAAAACCCAAGGTGTCTAAAAGTGAAGACGCGAGACGGTCAGCCGGGACGGTGGAAGAGAATGAACCGAAGTGAAACATTATCCTGGAATGCTCAGTTAATTATCAGAGTTATGATTTTCCCTGTAGATTATTCTATCTCCTCTGTTGCCCTAATCATCGGCTATTGGAGAGCAACTAGCAATTGTCCATCCTCCTCCTCTGCCCCTTCCTTCTCTGTTTCTGCAACCTCACACCCATTCTCCTTCCTCCGGGAGAGCACAGTGCCAGGCTCACCCCCGAGGCATGCCTGCTCCCATCTTCCCCTGCGGGTGTGCAGGGTTGCCACAGACGGTCACGCAGGCTGTGCACTGTACAGCTCTTGGGAGCACCATTCACATCGTGGTCTGCAGCCAAGATGCAGAGATGGTGAGACATGCCATAGGAAAGGCTTGATTTAAGCCAAGATTCCTCAACCTCAGCATGATGGACATTTTAGGCCAGATAATTCTTTGCTGTGAGGGGCCATCCTTTTACATTGTAGGATATTTAGCAGCTCCCAGGCCTCTACCCACTAGATAGTGGCACACCCTCCCCCACAATGGTGCCCACCAAAAACGTGTCCAGACATTGCCAAAAGCCCCCTGTGGTGGGTAAAAGAGCGCCGTGTTAAGGACCGCTGACAAAGGAAAGATGTTCTCCCAGCATATCCTACTCTGGTGAGGGCCCTATGTTAGCCCATCCTGGGGGAAGACAGAAAGTTCCAACCTTGCCCCAAAGGGGCTGGTCTCACTAATAAAGCCACCGGAGAGTATCTTAAGGGCAAAGCCCTTGTGGATTTTTTCTAGCCCCAAGATGTACTCTAAGTAGAAGATAGCTGAACTTGCTGAGAGCCAAACGTGTGCCAGGCTAAACAGAAATCTAGGTTTTACAAGAAGTGTGGGGGCTCTCCAAAAAGCACGGCCCTGGACCACAATGTTTGTGCCACCGAAGCATGAAAGCTCCAAAGACACCTGGAGATTTTCTAATTGTCAAAGCTTTATTCATAAACCTGACCTTTTTCATTAAAAAAAAAAAAAAAAAAGCTGTCTGCCTTGACTGGGGAGAACCCTTTCTGTTACAGAGATGCCCCAACAGTTGTTGGGATATTGGCCAAAGACAGCATCTAGATGTAAAGCCTGGTTGCTTCAATACCCCCTATGAATATCAGGTATGCATCTTACGCCACAAAACTAGGGTGGGAAAAGGTCTCATTTCTTTATGTTGGCTAAATTAAGTATAATCTCCTCTGTGCCCTCATTTATTGAACTATTAGGAAATTCTTCCCCCATTGTTGCTGGATGTCCTTATTCCCTCAGAGACACATAAAGGTCCTGGGGTATTCCCTAGTCCCAAACATTGGGGAGCCCCACTGGTGTCCAGCCTAGTCTTCTGTGCTGATAAATTCCCTGTCCAGTGAGCCTGCACTGTCCCCTGAAGACAGGAAATCCTGTCTTTCTAAGCCAGGCTTGGGGATAAAGTTTTGTGCCCAAGATCATTTCCTCTGGCTCCTCCATCAGAAGTCTGTCACCATCTTTCCTCTCTCACAGAGAAGGCAGCTTTGTGAGGGGTCTGGTCATTGTCTTGTGAAGAAGCTGCAACACACCCCCTTCCAAGATGATGGATGACTTTTCCGATCTGACCATTTCTGCCTCCCTTGACTCTGACTTTCAACCCCAATCCTTCTGGGACAATTCAGCAAGAGTCCTCCTGGATGCCTGTAGGTCCCCATCTTCTTTCTCCACCTTCATTCCTGTGGGACATTTCTGAAGCTGGAAGAACAGCTTGGCCTATCTCTGGGGCTCCCTTGTCTGAGCATGTGTTAGCCCGGGAAAGCCCATTCAGGATTTCCCTACCTGGCCATCGGAATGCTTGGGTAATTTTCAGCTGAAATCTGTGACCAAAAATTGACATTCATTTGTATTTTAAGAGCTCAGCATGTCACCCTGATCACTGGATGCCTCAGTTTGCTGGCATTTCTTCCTTCTTTTTTTTTTTTTTTTAACATTTTATTTATTTATTTGACAGAGAGAGAGACAGCGAGAGAGGGAACACAAGCAGGGGGAGTGGGAGAGGAAGAAGCAGGTTTCCTGCCAAGCAGGAAGGGGCTTGATGTGGGGCTCGATGTGGGGCTCGATCCTAGGACCCTGGGATCATGACCTGAGCCGAAGGCAGACGCTTAATGACTGAGCCACCCAGGCGCCCCTGGCATTTCTTCCTAAAGAACCCTGTCGGGTCTCATGAAAGCTCTGCCCCTGGCAGTGGTGGGCACAGCCTGTATTCAGGGGGTGTTAGTATTAGGGAGGCCTCCCAATGGTGGGTGCAGAGCTGCCTCCCTCATCTAGCTCTTATGAACAATAATGCTGACATTTTCATCTCTGTCTGCCTAGCTCCCGCTTCTTACCGGTGTGTGACTCAGAGTAATTAAAGGGAGTGACAATATTATCACCCTTAAAGGACAATGGGGAACACTTTCCAGTCAGGCGGGGAATGCCTTTATGCCACAGCTCAAGCTGAGACCCTGTAGGGGCTTCGATCTTATAATCTTTATAGCAGTACCAATCATAAAGACCATGTTTTAGCTAAAATTGTAATTTTTAGATCCTTAACTTTTGTAAAGCCTCAAATGTTAATTTGAGTTCATGGATAAATATTTCTGGGTACAGGACACTTTTCTAAGTTTAAAAAGTTTTAAACTTTGGTCACTAAACCTACTTGTAATTTATTCCTTATTCATTTAAAATAGCTATAAATTAACCAGATGGGTGATGTGTTTAAATATAAAAAGATAACATTAAATGTAAACTAATGGCGAAAAAGAGCTAGATAGTTCTTGTTTCCTGTCTTCTAGTTTTCTGGAGTCTAGAGAAAACAAAAAGTGTTTACTTTGCTAATAATGGTAATTAACAAAAATAACTTAAGACACTACCAGGCATAATTACAGGGAGATGCAAGTATGTGTACAAGATAACACATGTAGCTTGTTTAAGGGAATTATTACAGTTTATTATGATGGTGAATTCATTAGGATAGGTGCATTGTTGGATGTAGTATGTTCGTAAGATTAATTATATTTTGAAAATAAGATTCATTTTTTGAAGTCTCTAACTAATAAAAATAATAAAAAGGTTATACTGTAAATGTACAAATTTTAGTAACAATTTTTTGACTTGGGTTATACTACCTGCAGTGTTCCTAAAAAAAACCAAAAACCTGTATTAAAAATTTTTGACAAAGTTGGCTCAGTGAATTCATCCATAAGAAAGGTTTATAAATGCTTTACTGAGCACTGTCACATGGTTGACACACACAAAAAAATAAAATTAGAATTTAGGGGTTTTATGGTAAAATGATGTTATTTTGTGCCAGATACTTTTTTTAATTCCAGTATAACTGATGTAGTGTTATATTAGTTTCATGTGTACAATATATGGACTCAGCAATTCTATATATAACTCGGTGCTCATCATGGGAGTGTACTCTTAATCCCCTTCACCTATTTCACCCATCCCTCCCCCCACCTGTCCTCTGGCAAACACCAGTTTGTTCTCTTTATTTAAAAGTCTTTTTTTGTCTCTTTTGCTGGCTTTGTTTCTTAAATTCCACATGAAATTATTCATATGGTATTTTTCTTTCTCTAATGGACTTAGTTCACTTAGCACTATACCCTCTAGATCCATCCATGTTGTTGCAAATGGCAAGATTTAAGTTTTTTGGTTTTGTTTTGTTTTGTTTTGAAGATTTTATTTATTATTTACACACAGAGAGAGAACACAAGCAGGGGGGAGCGGCAGGCAGAGGGAGAGGGAGAAGCAGGCTCCCCGCTGAGCAGGGAGCCCGATGTGGGGCTCGATCCCAGGACCCTGGAATCATGACCT